TAAAAACAAATAAAATATGAAAATATTGAAAAAATTTATAAAGCGTATTGATTTGACTTCATAATTTTGTATTCAAAACGGAATGTAATGTAAACGCTTTCAAACATATTTGAAAAATTCGATATCATGCACAGAACTCCATGTACATTAGGGTGGAGCATCTAGAGTCGGCTCACTTACTTTTAAAGTAAATTTCGAGTTAATATTTTTATGTACATGAACTCACTTCTCATTTAGAGACTCTGTGAGGCATTAGTATATTTTGCTTTAACCAACTCCCTTCGGCTACGCTGAATGTATGGTTACAAGCAGAAAGCCAGCGTGTTGCATGCAATTCTTATTGCAATGAGTTAGTATGTATGCAACAGTACTCCCGTGCTTCGCAGCGAGTCTCTATAGTCACTGCAAATAACTGCCAAGCAAAATGGCGCTACTGTGGCATAAACAACTGGAGAACCCAGGGTACACATTATGCAACAAATGCATACATACATATATAATACTGAAAGCCGCTTTTTGCACATTTTTCATTTCTCTACAACTGAATTTACTTAACGTAGCTGCTCTACAGCGAATACTCTACTATGCACTTGTAGAATGTCTATTGTAGCAGTATTCATAGGAACAGGTTGCAACATACACCTAAAGAAATTAATTTCCACATACCTCTATGTATGTATATGTGTGTGTTGAATATGTTGCGACATAACAACTGAAACGAGTGCACGACGAATAAACTTGACACCTTTTAACCCTAACCAGAACATGGCTTTTTATTGCAATGTTGTTCTGGTAAATAAATTCGGTGCCATGACAAACGGGTTTACGTAACCTGGACCGAACGGAATTTACATATATCCGAGTAATGCACACCAGCTCAGAAGTATTTCCGATTACAATTTAGAGTGTGGCTATTTTGGTGATTACTCGCTGCAATCAAATCAATATTTCGGCGGTCCTTGGAATAAGGTAAATATTTAGCCATATAAACCCATATAAACTGGATTAAACACTGGTATTGGTGTAAAATTCTTTTGTATCATTTTTACAACATTTAGCGTCATGTATAGCGAGTTCTGTTCTGGTTTCTGTCGCTACATGTCAGAGCAAGATCAGTCAGGTTTATTGGATTCATAATGAATTTGCATTTTTATGCATATAAAAAGACATGGCAATGAGAAAATAACTAATTAAATTAATATGTATAGCATTACAACAACAAGTTACGGGTTCAAGTTGAAAAACGGCTGGTAAAATAATGTGATGTGTGTTATAGCAACAAAACAAAAAATGCGCACAAAGCCGCAAAAAAAATGGCAAGAAACAATAATGAGAATCATACGCAACAAACCGGCGAACGCTGCGCAATACAACTTCTAGCCGAACTTAGACTAGCTCTTGCAGCATTGCTAAAATATTGTACACTCGTTACCTGCATTGTTTCTGCAGTAACATTAGCAGTGGCTAAATGAAGATAATGGCTGTTGGGAGCTGAAGCTGCTGGTAAAACTGGTTCGTTGCATGACTGCTTGCCTGACTAACTCGATGACTGACTGGGCGGTTGGTCGTGCATGCGGTGGGTTGTTGAATTCGACAACAGCAACAGACGGTCGTCTGCTTTGATTCAGCAATCACAAGGCGGAGACGTGTCTGCATTACTTTGAAGTTGTTGCAAAATGTGGTTCGCTAGCTGTCTGCTTGTGTGAGGCAGTGCCAAGAACCTTGAAGAAACCAGTTGGCAGTTCTAATGTCAATGCCATTGCTAGCCGCAGCGAGCGATGTTCCGGTCGACCGAGCAGCAGCCCGACAATGTGCGATTGCACTAGTGTAGGTAGGCAGCGCAAGCTGTGTAAGAAGCAACAAAATCAGGAAAACAAAACTGCCGATTTGCAGACAACACTGTAAAAGAGCGTTTACACAGTAAGCAACAACCATAATTAACTGTACAATACTTCTTAACGTAAACAATGACGGTTTGAAGGAAATCTGGCCGAGGCAATCTCATTGTCTTGCGGTTTGCTACTCCGATAGTAAGGCTGTCAGCCAACAGATAGATTGTCAGTTGCGCAGAAGCAACAACAGTAAAGTTTTATTCTATTGGAATAATGAAAAGTTGTTTTCCAACATAAATTGGAGTTAAATGAAATAAATTGATAGGGACTGCTCTGTAACTACGATTAAGTATAAAACAACATCTTTTATATAATGCATCTTACATCCCCACCTCGCCAGCCTAATTTATTTATCTAACCTTATGTGGGTATTCTAATGTAGAATCTAAAAAAAAAAATCGTTTTTTTTTTATATTTTCAAAGTTTAACTATTTAAGAATATGTATACGAGAAGAATTTTTAAAAATTTAAATTATTTACGGAGATATAGATATAGATAATTTATTGACCCGGCTTCCAAAATGATTCGGCTGGGTCTAATCGAACAAAAGAAAATTTAAATGCGTTTTTCTCAAACCAGACTTTTTCAGAGAATCTCGTTATAGACCTTTCTCAAGTATGAACTAGCCTCATCCCCAAATTTAAATTTTTACTATTTTTAAAAAAATACGAAAAAATAAAAAAAAATTTCATAAAATGTTGTTTTTTTCAAACAGTCGCCATTTTGTCAAAAGTTTTTTTTTTACTTATCGCTAGTTCATACAATTGCGACATCATTGCAAATTGAATACTATTTTTTTTCATTACAGATGACTAGGAGGGTTTTTTAAATTTATAACTCTTAAATAACTAATAAAAAAAAATCGATGGTAAAAATGTATTGCCTTTTTTACCACACTTGTAAAGTCACCTAAAATTCATGTCTCTAGACTAGAATACCCCCTTATGTGATATAAGGTTATATCATAATATAATAAATACATAAGTAAACAAGTTCGTATTGCATTGCTTCCTGACATTGTTAATATACCTTACGTGTAGACAAAACCGCAGAAACAAACAAAGGTAACCGCAAAAACTTTACCCAACACTATTTATTGTTAGTTTTGTTTTCTGAGGGAAGAAAATGTGAGCTGCTAAGACCTTGTAAACTGTTTTTACCGTTAATCATGATCTTGAAATTGAGTATTGAAAGGCCTGGAAATATTATAATTTTGGGACACCCTTTAAATTTTAAATACAGAAGTATTCCAAAATAACGAATATGCGTTTTAACGAAAACCGCTTATAATGAACAGACAAATTTTTTACATTAAGTACCTTAAATAACGAATATATGTACAAGTAGAAAGAGTTGAAAAAAAAACATAGTGCAGAAAACAGAATACAAAAATTAAATGACATGAAAAAACTTCAGAGAAAAACAATTATTTTTAATGTTTATTTATGTTTTGTATTTCTTTCCTTTTCAAATAACACATGGGCTGAAAAGTCCCGGGCCTCACACATAGATGGCGCTAATTTTATTGAATTCATCTCATATTCAAATAGTACTAACCTTCAAAAAGCAGCTGTTGAGATTTCATGACATTCTATTCATTAGTTTGCGAGTTATTGTGCTAAGAGTGACGCTGCTTTTGTTATTTTAAAAACAATGGATGATAATCAGTTTCGTGTTTTAATTTTACCCTGCTTCTTGATGGGAAAAACTACCGTTCAAGCGAGGCAATGGCTTGAAAAGTGTTATGGGGATTCCGCACCATCAGAAACCACAATAAAACGTTCGTTTGCTGACTACAAACATGGTCGTAGAGACACCAATGATGCAAAACACAGTGGGCGTCCAAATGAGGCTGTAACAACAGAAAACATAAAAAAAATCCACAAAATCGTTCTGAATGACCGGAAAGAGAAGTTGCGTGATATAGCTAACATCGTAAGGATTTCAAAAGAACGTGTTGGCTTTATATTGCATGAGCATTTGTCAGTGAGAAAATTCTGTTCAAAGCGGTTGCCGCGTTTGCTGACTGCTGACCAAAATCAGCAACGTGTTGATGATTCTGAACACTGTTTGGCCATTTTTAACCCTAACAAACCGGAATTTTTGCGTTGTCACAATGGATAAAACCTGGATTCATCACTTCACTCCGGAATCAAAGCGGTTGTCATCTGAGTGGACCAGATTTAGCTCCCAGCTACTATGGGTTGTTCGCAAACCTCAAAAAATGTTCGTCGGTAAGAAATTTCGCTCGAATGAAGAGATTATCACTAAAACTGAGGCCCATTTTAAGGCAAAATACAAATCGTTCTACAAAAATTTTATTGAAATGTTAAAGCGACGCTGGAACGACTGTGTTGCTCTTGATGGAGTTTATATTGATGAATAAAGCTAATTTTGAACAAAAAAACAACGTTTACTTTGTTAGGTGTAAAACCAGGACAATTTTATTGAAGAGAATGATATATTATTACATCATTATTCCAAGATTAGAATGTTTTTACCCATATAAAAAACGATCAATTATATGCTTAAAACGTTTCAAATAAATATTGCGGCTTCAATTCTCCATGAGGGTTGAACAACATTTCATACAGGATTCCGATGAGGTTAATGATAAAGTGGAAGGGAAGGACCAAGTTGATAATATGAGTATACCCAAAATGTAAACATAAATGTGCAGAAAAATTTCGAATAACGTGGGAAACAATCCAGTGGCCAACGCAGGAAAATGTCGATTTCCTACAACTGAACTTCAGGAAGAAGCCATCAAATGTAATCTTAGTATTCCAATGAAACGAACGACGATTAAACAAATTTTTAAATAGATATAGAAACTTATATTGCAGATACAAAAATTTTTTAATCCCATTTTCTTTTACTTTCTTTAAGCTAACATGCTTAAGCGCTTTGAATTGTTTTTTTGGGTTTTTTCTTTTTTAACAAATAATTTAATAAACATATACATATCAGTCTGTTGCGTATATTTTTTATCTTTATAAAATTATCTTACCTATTTATACAATTTTTGCTAGAAGTATGATCTATTGATACGTAACGTTCTTTATTTATATATATACATATATATTTAAATATTTCTCAGTACTCACTTAAATCCTTTCTCGTCATCGATGCCATTGGCTACGCCATTAGTATTTGTTACTTGGTCGTCCTTCTTTAGGCCGTTTGTGTCAAACGGAGAATTGGCCTTTTCTTTGTCGTCGTGAGGCTAAAAATAATATACAAAAAAAAAAGAATAGTCTTATTCGAAAGCAAAATCATTTAAAATTTCATCTATATGAGAATATCTGTGAATAAATAATCAAGTGGCAGTAGAACTCAGTATGTCTGCCTTGAAACTTACCTTATCATTATCATCGAATTTCAGACTTCGCAAACGTGGCTCAAGGCTGGATAGCGGACTGTCCTTATTAGTGGGTGAACCGCCCAACACATATTCTACCATTTTAACACCCAAACCGCTTGTGGCGTCACGTGGACTGCAAAGGTTACAATTTATAAATATTTGTATGTTTTTTTTTTTTTTTAATATAAAAAGTGGACAGTAAGGCAATAAGTACTTTTATATGTGGAAAAATTGTGTTTAATTTACCTTAGAATACCCGCATTGGTGCTCGCATTCGTTTCCGGTGCTTGTGGGAAAGTGCGTGGCCGCGGTGGTGCCAAAATATTTTCTCCCTGTGTGGACCATGTTGAATCCTTCCAAACTGGATGATCGCCAACACCGGGAATGTGTAGTGGATTTAATGGACCACCGGTAACGCCACCTGAAACGGTACCTTTGCCATCGGACTTCTCCCATAGCTTTTTGGCAGTGGATGTGGTGATCTGCAATTAAAAAATATGAACATTAGTTTTTTGAAAACATATGTTTAAAAGGGATAAAACAACTGTATATAAATTAATAAGAAAAAGCTTTACTCTTAAGACCCTGATAATGTGCACTACGAGAAGGTAAGGTTATGTAAATTATAGCGTCTACCAATAGGGATGACCTGGCGGCACTATGTGTTTACGGATTTGTGTCAAGTTTTGCCATTTCATCATAGCACGTGGCACTTTGGTAAAACGTTCTCGAAAAAAACGTTGAAAAAATCTTCATCAAAAAATTCACTTTTCAGGCCCATTTCTGGCTTAATGGCTTCGTCAACAATAAAAATTGTCGGTATTGGGGTGAATCAGATCCTCGTTTACCGTTTGGTGAGCATTTTGTTACGGCAGTGTCATCGGACTTTGCTTCTTTCGAAATGCCGTTACCAGCCATAGCGTGCGTGCTAACACGGAGTTAACGGACTTTTTTTTCCAGAATTTAATTAAATCGACGCGGATGATCTCTATTTCCAACAAGACGATGTGCCGCCTCATGTCTCATGACTAAACTCGTTAATTTCAAAAAAATGGCCCAGTCAAATGGCCACAAGAATCATGCGATTTAACACTTCAGGATTATTTTCTCAGGTTTGCGCCAATCAACCAGCAACTCCCGAGGAGCTCGAGGAGCACTATAACCGAAAAAAACCATTTTGACCATTTTTGAGTGTTCGAATTTTAGGCTCCTTTTCGGACCCGATAAAAAAAGAACAAGAAATATTTTTACCATACATTTTTTTATATGTTTTTCATTGATATTTAAAGAGTACAAATAATTTATCATATATATCAGGACTCCCAGTAGTCCGAAATGGAAATTGTTGAGGGATCCTTAAAGAGGAAGGATGTAGTTATAGCACAACGAGAGGATTTTTGGAAAAAAAAAATTTCACAAAATGGCGGCTGTTTGAAAAAAATGTTTCGTTATTTCCCTGTTTTTTGCCGTTCGGAAATTTTTAAAAATATAAAAAAAAATTCCAGAAATCCTCTCGTTGTGTGATAAAATAATGTATAAAGAAGCTCTGTATAAAATTTCAAGTAAAACGATTGAGTAGAACAGGAGATATCATGCACACCGTTTCTAAAAAAGTAGTTCAGAGAAAAACGACTTTAAAGCTCGCGCCGAGTTGCCAGTCCACTTTGTCGATGCATCATAAAATGAGCTGTAACCCCGAAAAATATTTTTAGGGGCATATTCTTAAAGGGTTATACTACAATAATATGCCAAAAAAATTGGTTTTTCAAAATTTCTTAACCATAATACCCCCTTAAGACTTTTGATAAGAAACTTTTTTATACCACAAATACTAACGAATGTTTCATACTGTACTACACGAACTTCAAAACCACAACCGTGCGGAAGAATAGCATATAGTGCAAATAGTCAACGAAGATGCCCGCCAACAAACCTCTTTACAAATACAAACGCATCTGTGTTGTACATACATATGCACGTGTTTACAAAAGTATGCGTAAAGTACGGCACAGCCGATTGAGCCACGCAAAGTCAATACGCTATGAGAAATTCTCTAATTAAGTAATGTCAATAAAACCATCAACACATCAAAACAACAATAATAACAATAAAGCACATAGTTAAAACAAGCGTGAACATGCGCTCTTATGTACATATGTATGTATATGGTATACACATGAATTTGAGGAAGAAGAAGTTAGATACGCGCAAAACACGAACAGTGACGGATTTTTGCAGTCAACAACTTTGACAACATGCTAATATATATATTACTATTGGACAGATATAAACAAGAACAGTAAGAAACTAAATCAATTCGGAAGTAAAAAAAATAAATATAAACAGTTACTGACAATAACATAGAATTAAATAGAAATAATAAGAATAGGTTCCGAAATAATTAACAATCTTTATTATTTGTTGGATAGATTTCCGATTCGTTTTGCCTGTAATCGATTTCTACAATATTTGTCTTTTAAAATGCCATGATGGTAGTATGCTTTTGTTGTCGTGAGAAAAAAAATAGAATCAAGGAATAAAAATAACAGTTATAGGCGTTTACTAAACAATTATAATGTAAGTATATAATATAAACTGTAGAGATGGTAATTTCATGATATGGGTATGTTTTTAGTGGTACGAAGTTGGACCGCTGTTGTGGATTTGGCAAATCATGAACCATTATCACTTTAGAATTTTAGAAGATGTAATGCTTGCCTATGCTGAATGGTGCATGTTTTTAGTTTGGCAGTTCCAGCTTGACCTGACCCGAAGCATAGCTCGGGTGTAGTCAAGACTTTGCTACATGATCAAAGATTGAATGTTATAACTTGGCCGTCGCAATCTCCGGATTTTAATCCTATAGAAAACCTGTTAAAGATTGTAAAGGTCTGTTGGGACCCGTTAAGCCACGAAATATGGAGCAACTATGCGAAAAAGTCCAAAAAGAGTGATAATCAATATCGAATTCAGTCGGTAAAGCGCTAGTGGAACCTATGCCGAAAACGTGCACTGCTGTACTTGCAAAAAGGTTTTGCAACAAAATTCTGTATGCATTTTTTAGTTATTGTCGTTTGAAATTCCTGACACTTTCTTTAAAAGTTGTCTGCTGATAATACTAACATTTTTATGAAGTCATTTTTGCTTTTGAAATGTGTAAAATAAATTTTATTAACTGTAAAAAAAAACAATTGTTTCCTAATAAGAATTGCGGTAACCCTTCTTTTTTGTTTATTCTATTTGATTGTCAATACCAGTATATAAAATAAAAATAAAAATAAATAAGTAAATATTAATATAAAAATAATAATAAAAAAATAATAAAAAAAAATAAAAAAATAAATTTAAGAAAATATAAAAAAATATAAAAAAAATAAAAAAATATAAAAAATATAAAAAAAATAAAAAAAAGTATTATAAAAATAAAAAAAAGTATTATAAAAATTAAAGAAAGTATTAAAAAAATAAAAAAATATAAAAAAATTTAATATATAAACAAAATTTAAATTAAAAAAAAAAATAATAATAAAAATAAAATTTAAAAAAAAAATTTTTTTAAATATAAAAAAATAAACTTTAAAAAATGTTAAATAAAAATAAAACTAAAATTAAAAAAAAAATGTTTAAAATTTAAAAAAATAATAGAGAAATATTTTTTTTAATAATAAAGAAATAAAAATAAAAAAAAGTTAAAAACTAAAAATTAAAAAAATTAACGTTCAAAACTTCGTCCCCATATGAATATGTAGAGATATGAATGTGTGTAAGTGCCAAATTTATTTAAAATTTCTTTATGTGTTGTATTATTCATATATAAGTATGATGCTTTTAAAACGATAATATTAAAAGCTACCATCAGACAACACAGAGATGAAACAAAAGCCGACAGTGTATAAAAGACGCCTGCAGCATGCTGCTAAAAAAAAAAGAAAGGAGGCAGCAAAAGGGAAATGATCCAAAATGCAGGCACTGCAGACTACGTTGAAAGGTTTCAATTGTAGTTGACTGGAGTTGACTGGTGTACGAAAAATAGATAATGCGTGGAAAACATAGCATAGCGCATACAAGAACATATACAAGTACTGTCGAGAGGTTGACGTCGAGTAAGAATGTACATGTCAGCATAGCGAAAGAGAGATAGACGGCAAAAATAATTGCTGAAAATGTAATGGCACTAAGCAAAGAATTAAAACATGAAACCGAAAGGTAATCATGGTAACACAACACACATATTAACACATTACTATAAAGGTTTTTTTTTTTTTAAATTTTTTACTTAATTTACAATGACCAAAAAGTAAACCATGCAGGCAAGAACTTTAGAAAACTATACAAAAAGGGGTGAATTTGTAAGTTTTTGGCGAAGAAGCAGCAAAGAAAACTCAAAAAGGAGTTGTTTAAAAAATTACAAAATTTAATGCTTTTAACTAACACCAAAATAGAAAAATTTATGTTTTACCACCAGACCACCAGACCAAACGTTAAAATAAAATATGCAATATATAATATGTTTCATATTTCTACAAATATACTCATACATACGAAATAACATGGAAGAGTGTAGAACTCTACAGCTAAGCAAACGAAAACCAACCGTTTGATTACAAAACAGCACTTTACTAGACACAGACATGTAAATCAACTCTTTTTAATAAAAGTCGCGCTTGTCGAAATAACTTGGTGGTTATGGTATACGTCATCATAAATCTGTGTCAAGTTTGACGCTTTGCTTCTTTTAAGTCACACTCAATCAAATCACACGAAAATCGCCTATGCATGTATGTACATCGTTAAGGTGCTGTGAAAATTGCATTGTGTTGCGCCAAACTTAAAGTGTAAGGGGTGTTTTACAAACAGTCAACTAATTGTCGATACCAAACTGATTTAGCGTCTAATTGGGGCATTGCGTAATATCACAAATGTTTTTCGCTTCTAAAAATGGAATTCCTCGCACAACAACAGACGCTTAAATCACAAACGCTGTGCTATTTAATCGACAACTGTATTTTTCAAATTCTTTAAAATGAATTTTCGAATTACTCAAACAGTTAGAACATGATGCTGCCACAATTTTGCTGCTGTCAATTTTGTGCATATAAGGTAGCATCAAAGTTAGTCTTAAAACCTATTAAGAGAGAAAGAACAATGTTTTCTCATTGCTACATCAATCTTCCCACCAAATCAATTTACCGTACTTTCGGATTCGAATTGTCAATAAGCGCGACTGTTTGTCTAATGATGATGAAGGCGCGTCTGTAATATCTACGAATGAGCGAGTCGCAGTGAATAGAATAAATCTGCAGCGAGGCTCGTGTAGGCAAATTTTACATGAACATTGATATTGAGCATTCGCGCAAAAGTGGAGCAAGCGTTGCGCTTAATTTAGCTAATGGCGTAGAGATTGCAGTTAAGTACATTTAATTTAATAAAATTAGTTGAATCGATCGGAAAATGTTACATTGGTTTATTTAGATAAATTTTA